CACACATAATGGACTCAACTATGATGTCTTTACACCCACATGTTATATGTATTAAAGTTAAACAAAGAAAATTAAAATCTCACTTTCAAGAGAACTTCGAGCTTACTTTTGTATCCTTTATATGTATTACTCCAAACAAGAAAATAAATAATTCAATATTTACTGAAAAGTTTCAATAATGCGCTCGAGACTAATGAATGATAACAAGTTATTGCAATAACAAAGAATTTCGGACTACGAGCTAATATATATTTTTCTTAATCTTTGATATTTTTTTTCACAAGAAAACTACCACTCCCTCTGTTTCAAAATATAAGATGTTTTAGAAGTTTTTTTTTTATTTCAAAATATAAGTCGTTTTGACAATCCTATGTAACTTTATTAAATATTTTGTGACTACTAGTATTTTGCATTATAAAAAATTAGTTAAATTATTTTTATTATATATATTAAATGATATTTTTTAGAATAAAACTAGTTTCCTAAACTCCGCATTTTTAGCGAAAACATCTTATATTTTGAAACGGAAAGAGTATATTAGTATAATGAAAACTTAATCACCAATTTTGAATAACATAATGAAATCAAATCATAAGCTTACAATCGCTTCATTTTATAGCTTATTATTGGTTATTGCATATATAAAAAGATTTTGAATTGAGTTGTCTCTAGTTAAAATGTTTTAAAAGCAACGGCTGTATATGACAATTGTAACTTTCTGATATAGCTAAGGAAAAATTGCCGAAATATTCATGAATTTGTATAGAAAAATATATATAAAATCATGCATTTTAAATTGGGTAGGAATGCTCTACTTCGTGTTGTAGATGTTGTTGGTCACAATTATAGGTAACTAGGTGTTTATGGTCATTTAAATATCCAACATTCACAATACAATAAGTAATGTGCGAACCAAATCCAAATAAAAAATGTACGTAAGAATATAAAACGTCTCCTCGTTTACTAGAAAGGACGCTTATTGATTTTGAAGGCAAGAATAATACAAAAAATGTACAAGACAAAGAGATTTTGACCCCATCTCCAAAACGGCAAATATGTTACACAGTTACACTGTAAATCCTTGTTATTTTATTATACACTCATATATTGGTGAACAATCTCCAATGATTGTAACATGAAAACATGATTATTTAGGGTATTGTATACTACAATTTGAATAGGAGGAGAAAATATCTCAATTTGATCAATAGCTATAATGGGGGTTGGACGAATTATTCGAAAAGGATCTTCTAAATGTTGCAAGAACACGACAAATTTGTATCACAATTATTTTTTGGAAAATGTCATTATAAGTCACTAAAGAAGATATTTTATACCTGTATTAAGAGTAGTCGAACACATGGATTGAGAAATGCTAAAAAGTTTAAAGATTTGATTGAAATTGCCTACGATTAGAAAGATCTTTACTTGATCAAATGATGCTATGAAAGAATAAAAAATCCATAGATTTGATCAATCTACAAAAACAGTAAATATAAGAAAAGAAAAAACACTTTTAATAGTGAGAAGAAACCATATCCTTTGTTCAACAATACTGAGAGCTTTTAATACTTATCACGGAGTTTACTACTAATACAGTACAGCATCATTAATCAAACCAATAACCTACAGAGAGATACTTTTGAGTGACTAACCCATTACATGCCCCAAATTCCCCGAGCCGAAGCCACTCTGCTATTTGATCTAGCAGTCAACTCATACAAAATCCTAGCAAATGAATCAGAATACTTACCATCTTGAAAAAGCAGTTCAGCAAAAGCATTCTCATACGCCAGTAGCAATCCTCTGTTCTGAGGCTCGGAGACAAGGTTCTCTAGTATCATTGCAGCTTTCCTGCAGACTTCTGGAACTGGATGCGGAGTCTTTATCACTTTTAACAATCTATCAACCGCCCTGAAAATGGATATAAAAAAAGGTAATCATGTGTCATTGTTGTAATAGAAGAACCAATCTTGTTACAGAGGGAGCATAGTTTTTGTATACCATCTCTCACTTGCAAGCTTTAATCTGCAATCCATGTTTACTTCCACGAGATTGTAGAGTGCCCCAACAGCTGCGGCTTGTGCATCAACGGCTGGTATGCTCAAGAGATCGACTAGCCGCTTGTGTATCTGCAAGGGGTAGTTGGTCAATTTTTGGGTTTATTCAGTAATTAATATGAGTAAGTAACCAAAAACCATAAAAATGATTATTTACAAAGTTATCAAACCTGTGGAATTAAGGGACTAATGAAAGGTTCATTATCCGGATTGATTATCAAACGCCCCAACAATTCAGCTGCAGCACAATTCCAAGCTTTCACGGAAGAATCGAGAATTCCGACCACAGCTTGCACTGCTTGCTTTTCGCTATTTGCAGAAGAGCGATGAATGAGTCACATTAAATTGGAGTTTGAAACAAGTTAAGATGCATTTTTGTTAAAAGAATACAGGGAGATTAAAAGAAGAAAAAAAGTCTCACTTTATGCTGATGTATGACTGTTTAAGCGAGCTGAAAATTCGAAGATCCATCAAATGCGCTAGGTTTACGATCGTCTCGAGCGAGTTTGTGACCAGCTCTTCATCCTCTGTTAACAAAAAAAATATCTAAGACCATACTTTCCAATAAAGTATAAAGCACATAATGAAATAAAGGGAATGCATTGAAGCCAATTTAGTACAAGAAGAAATAGGAACCTATCAGAGGTGAATGTGAGGAATCAACTAGTAGAAGAAAGAAAAAGGTTGCGATGATATATATATTGAAAAACAGTATTCCTCCTCACCGGTCATATGATCATGTATGCACTGGAACACGGTTTCTAAGCAATGGCGATGCTGAGCCATTACAACTTCGTTATCTGGCATGAAGGAGAAGTTGCGGATAACGTTTGATGCAGCAATGGCGCACAGTTGTTTCTCTGCTCTCCCATCATCGTCAAGATTAAATAAACCATCCTCTTCCATCCACCACTGAGATGACTGATGTTTTCCAGTGTTTTTTTTCCCTAATGCCTCAGCAGCTGAAGAACCAATACCGGATCTGCTGGGCCAATATTAACCACAGTTAGGTTCCAAATGTAAAAGATAAGTTAACATTATTATATCAAAAGCAATACCAAACTAGAGGAAAAATGATCGATCATATTGGCTCACCCAGGGGTTTGAATAGAGGCTAGAGCATCATACTCACTGCCAAATCCCGTAACTGAAGAATTTGCACCTAACGATCTGACCCTAGTTCCTCTTGTCAGGTCTTTCGGGAGAGCTATGTCGCGCCAGTCGTCAATCTGCCAAATTTTTAGCATATGTTAGTTGAAGAACAGATAGGAATGCACAATCACACACTAAACTTCGACCAGAAATGGCTTACACAGAAACAATTAAATCAACTCACAATAAGGAGAAGGGCATCAAGCAAGCCAGGTATCTTAGCAAGAGGCGTGACATCTCTTCGAATATCTTCCTTTTCCTTGAAGGAGAGCAATGTAAGTGTATTCAATGCCCACGTCACCTCGCTCTTCAAACCACTCTGTAGCGCAAGCACTATTCTTCTATTGTTCTGCTCTACAAATTTCAATGATCCGAGAAACATAAACAGTTAAAACCATGAGTCTACTAGACCCCACACACAACAAGGTTCCATTTTTGTACTGAGAGAACACAATATCTAGAATATGGAAAGCACTGAGCTTTAAGCTCACTGGTGGCTCGTGAGTCACAGATTGAAACTCTTGTGGATTTATCTCATGTAAGAACCAAAATCGTGAATCTTCCCTAAATGACACATTCCACAACTAGGACAAATTCGACAGTATAACGAAGCACTAATCGATCTCAACTTAATCTTCAAATCAACGAAACAAAGACGAGCTTTATAAAGCATCTACTATAGACTGATCAATCCGAGCTTACCGACGAAGGAATTGTGAACTAGAAGAGAAGGACCGAGTAGTGCTGACGGAGACATC